CCACAAAACGTTTTTTAATTGCACAGCCTCTTCGACACTAATGACTAAACATATAGTAGTGAAATAACAGTTACTTAAAACGTTGAAGTAAGAGGAATGATAGTTCTGTAAATTTTGCAAAAAATTTCCATACTTGGCGCGACATTATTGACGATGTTGACATGAGTAAACTTGCCTGCAATTCAGCGACGGCATAACCCAAATAACTAGCAAGTGTAACGCGCATTTCCTTCTCTAGTAGTGAAAGCCAGTCATTAATGGTAGGATTGTCCTTGATAGAAATTGGATGAACAAGGTCAACCTCCTCGCCTTCCTTCGATATCAATCCCAGAACCTCAGTACACTCTTCATTTAGTTTAATAGCGCTTACACCCGCGAACATCTTCTTAAAGTGCTTTTGTAACCGAGGGATATTTTTACTGTTGCCAATTATCTCCAACAAATCTTCATCTCCAACAAAGTAAAACCTAAAATAAAATCACTTTTGGGATAAAAATACGCATTTTTTGACTCAAACTGTAAGTCATAAGCTTGCGAAATATTCAGTCGCAGCCACCACAATCATAACTATTGGCTAAGATGTAGTTCGTCCAAAAATAACACAAAAAATTGAGGAACACACCTCGGAAATGAAGATCTCTGCCTTTCGAGATATTCACCAAGTGACCTCTGGATTTTGGAGAGCAGATCAGCTAACCTTTCCAGTTGACGCTGTACATTCGGAATATTGAGAACATCCATTACGAGTGGAGATTTTGAAACTTTCTTTAGCAATCCCAAGAATTCAGTACTAACACTGGAAAAGCGTTGGGACTCCTGAGCAAGCAGAGTTTTGATATCAGCAGATCCCGAAAAAATACCATCCAAGTACACCCATCTCCTTTGAACATCAATCCAAACATCGAAGAGTGCATTAATCCTATTCAACCTATCCTCCCACGTTAGGGCCTCTTCTTCAAATTGCTTGAAGTAGGGTGACAACTTCATTGCCCCAACGCTGTTGATATGTTCTTTAACTCTGTTAAAGAGATCATCCCACCCACGAATGAGACGACAGCGGTTCTGATAGACTACTAAGTCCAACTCGTAGGTCTTCCAAACTTCAGTAACTTGTTTCATAAACTCCTCTAATGCCTTTTCACCCTGCGCCACGAGGAAGACATCACGAATAACGGCTTCATTTTTCTGCAAATCGACGTCCCACAATTGGCCGAGAGTGAGTTCCGACATGACCCAATTGACATTCAATTTACGAATAAGAGTGCGCCAGTGGCGTTCCTTGAGAGCTTCTGATTTGAGATCGATGACGATGGGATTGACCTTGGCAAAGTCTTGAACAGTGCGTCTGATATGTTCGTATGCTGCATAATGACGAAGTCGCGCAGGTACCTCCTTTAGTCGACGCACCATCTCGTCGATTTGCTGGCGAATTTTGCGTGGCTGTACCGACTGCCAAGGAGTCTCACGAAGCTGGTCAATTTCCTCCCAAAAGCGAGAAAGCTCAACCCACACATTCTTAAGATCCTGCACATAAATAAAAAAGGTGAAATAACTTTAGTAACAAGCATCTTACCAAGATACCTATTCAGATTCATCTAGCTAAGGCCAATTTGAAGGGCACGGGGAAACATTATTAGCGCAAAGTGGAGTGAATGGTACCTAAGAGACAAATAAGTGAAAATGGAAGGTACAGAGGCGGTTAACATAATAGAAAATAGGATTTCGACGCCAATGTGACTCATTTAAACGCATACGCAGGTGTCGAAAATGCAAATTCATGCTCCGCTCGTGTAAATGCAGTAGTTGGGGAAGCTTTTAGGGAGATAGAATGCGTATTTAAAACTAACAATGATTACTCATCAAATCATAACATAAGCAAGCGAGCAAAATACAACAATGCACGACCTGAAGTTCTTCAAGTGCAACATTAACCCTCTCTTCACTAGGAGGCAAGACACCTTCTTCGGTGAGTTCTAGAGCTTCCTTCGCACGCTGAATGTTTGCCCTCTCCTCTTTCAGCCGTAAGAACTGGCCTTCAAGAATAGTGAGAGCCTTCACAGCCTCATCTGGTTTCATATTGCCCTGAATCGGCTTTTCCTTTTGCCAGCTATTCAAGAGTTCTGCTGTTTTTCCTTCAACCGCTTTATCTTCACTGACAATCTTCATCTGCAGGCTAGCCACTTCTGTAGAAATACTCGATTCTTTGCGACGCAGGATCTCCTGGAAAGCACTCCATTCGCCCTGAATATTTTCTGAGTCTCGCCAATTGTTGGGAAATTGAAAACGGTCGCGGTAGAGAATGTTTTGACCTGTTTTGTAGAGGTTGACCTGTTTTTCCCATTGCTTCAGCTTGCGCTTGAGAGACTGAGTGTAGGTAATTGTGTTCACGGCATCACTCGTTGCCTTAGAATCTACAGAACGCTTCTCCAACTCGGATCGAGCTTCAGAAACTTGTTTGTAGAAGTCTTGCATCTCGCTACCAAGGTTGCTACCAAATTTACTGAGGATTTCCTTATGCCAGCTGTCATACTTAAGCGTAACTTTAGACTGGACCTTGTCAAAAACAATAACGATTGGACCGAAAGCCTTTTGAGTCTCAGCGACATCAAAGTGTCTTCGCATGACCTTGATTTCGTCCAGTACATTCATCCACACCTATGCACAATAAGAGCAATCACCAAAAGAATTTTCTTCTACAAAAGAAAGTAGCGAATGACTAAAAAGAAACACCAGTCTATGAAACTGAACTATATTTATCACTGTCGTGTTGTATCAATGCCTCAAAGGCAATGCAAGTGTAATGGACTATAATCGCAAAAGCTAGTGAGTTGCAACGCGCCTCAGAGTTCAGGTAACATTTAGAAAGCTTACCTCAAGATTAGTCCCAATACGATTGTACACCTGGTCCACTTGAAGGTCCCACAAAGCTTGATAACTTGTCCAAGTTTTCACATATTCCTCCGTTTCGCTAAGAATACCGAAAATGGCATCGTGAGCATGAATTAGTACATCGCTCTCTTTCGAAAGCCTTGATATGAGATTCATATTGAGTTTCTGAGAGTCCTCATCGGTGTTTAACCCAACCTACAAAGAAGAGTGGCTTAAATCAGAAGCATCCATTGATTTCAAATCGTTGATAGCCAAGTTTAACGCAGCATATCTTCAAGTGTTAACAACTTGACGCAATGAGGCGATAGATCACAAGTAAACTTCCTCAACAAGGTCCTCTGACATTTTTATTCCCTGATAGTCCAAAAACCTTTACCGATATTATAATAAACAGCTAAGTTTGGGAGCTGAAGTGAGAAATCAAACGCAGAATGTCCACAGAGAATTGGAACATAGGCGTGCCTGATAACGAGAGTGCTGAATGCGTGGGAGGTTAAGAATAATATTTTGCCAGGCAGTGAGCTGAGAAAAGAGCTCGTGAGAAGCAACTTCGATACTGGGATGCAAGTGCATTTGTTGATTGGTGATGCGCAGTTCCAAAAAAATCTGCTTGATTTTAGGCTCGCCGCCAAGACGTTGCTGTGAGACCATCATCGAGGTGGACATGGAAGAATCAGCATCTTCGGCCTCTCCCTAAATTGACAAATTTGGGAATAAATAGCAATGCTACTTTTGTTTAACCATACTAATAGAAGTATTTACTAACGGTAGTAGCGGACTGTAAAAATGCGCCAAAAAGAAGCCCAATTACTGAAGCGCAAGACGTTTACTACCATTTGAATCTATGTCCAATTAAGTGAGTAAACTGAAACACCGTATTTTGACAGAAAATACTCGTTGAATCACAAAAGATCCACTGCACTTCTAAGCCAATCCTTAGTTGATGACGAAGCACAAGAATAGAAGCACTTGGCTTCGCACATACTGTGTCAGTCAGTTTCGCATCGAAATGAAAATTATGCCATGAAACGAATACGTGAAAATCCTGTCTTTGTATTTCCATACTCCAAAACCTGAGTCACACTAATGTCGTTTGTGCATGTTCAGAGTCAACTACACACTTGAGCGTAGAGCAACGCGATCAAGCTGAGACTTGTAAATTTACAAAAGTTAAGCAAACATAGTCCTAATGCGAAAACCGGGAGGTATCAAAAACGCACCGACTGCTTTTCATCCGTATGTAAAACACGCGTCCACTCACGAATACCAGCTTCGAGACGGGTAATGAGGCGATTCTCAACCTCCACGTCAAGTTTCGCAACCCACTCAGCCAGGTTTGAGTACTTGTGAAGATTTAAATCATCAACCAGCTTTTGAATCTTCCCTTAATGAAAAAATCCTCAGTTATCTTCGTAATCCCTGCTCAAGAGCAGAGTAACCAATTACATGGAGTTCAAAACCATTAATCAGAATCCCCAGAACCACAAACGAATTGTTCACAAACGCAGTGAAGTCTTTAATAACTAGTCGAGGAAAAAACGAATTACCTATTATTTCCTCAAACGACTCCTTTGAATAAGGGCAAGTTACAAGCGCTTTCAGTTGCAAATCTATTTCCCGAGTGACTTGAAGCAAGTCCTCCACTTTCTCCTGAAATTGAAGGATAGCTTCCGAAAACTTTTGAACGAAGTTCGACAGCCGGTAGGAATCCCAGTTCAACTGTACACCCTCGGATATCAGGTTTTGGGCTTCACGTCGCAGACCGGCACATAATATAGCCAGATTTTGAGCATTATTTGCGTCTATTTTGGCGCAGATCGCTTCGTAGATTTGGACACTTTGATTAAGAGAGGTCGCCGAAGGGTATAACATGTTGGTCTGATGTGCGCGATTCACTATTGAAAGAGGCACTCGAAATCCCATTGCTTTCATACAACGAACCTGATGAAAGCAAAAGTAAAGAAACAACCATTTTTTCATGATTTACAGATAAATGCGAATAGCACACAATGTAGTCTGAAGATTAATCTTGCCTACGATTGTAAAAGCTATGAGTAGAGCACATAGTAAGAGCTTCGAGGACAATACACTCATCCCGAACATTAAATATTAAGGGTGCTCGCAAGTAGTAATGAGGTACGCACACAGCCTCGTTGATAAAAGGCCTAAGGCATACCTCTTTAGATAGTGTAATAACGTCGAGCACAAAAGTAACTGCCAGCTTCATCATGGTTGTGGTTTGCGTTGATCCATCCTTGTTGGGTATTTTTACACGAACGGGTTCAACACAGAAAATACGACGGGTTAAGTTAAACTGATTATGTTGCACTTTACGACACCAATCATCAAATATGGCATTTGTGTTCAGCTTCGACTTAAAATCTTCTCCATTCGATTTGAGATCCTGGCCTTCGCGATGATGCTCCCAACCCTTGCCTAAATGATTAAGTTAAGCATTGTGTCAAACATATCTAATGGAAAAAAACTACGAGACAATTCGGCAATCACTTGCCCAGAACGTCTTCCACCCTCCGAAGATAAGTATTTAGCCGTTCCTCAATCTGCCTCGCCCAGATTATGGAGCCCGCGACGGGGGGAATGTCTCGCAGTTTGCTCAAACGGGAGGCTCGACTAAAGCGATACTGATTCTTGAATTTTTCATGTAGAGCTTCAGTGTCCTCTCTGACTCGATTTATCAGCTGTGTCTGATACTCCCGGATTGCTCCGCGAATGTGGGGACGCACAAAGAGCGCATTAAAGCGCGAAAAATAGCGAAACATTTCGTTAGCACTTTTTGCAGTTCCCAAGAGATCACGCAACCTAGCGGCAATTCGAGTCTCCACGCCATCAATTCGTTCCTCATAACTAGAAAAGAGTAGGTTACAAAAATTGGGAACATGTGGGGATTTAAATGAGCAAGGAATAACGCACCGTTTGATAGTGGCATCCCATACTTCCGTCCCTTCTTTGCTCAGATCAAGACAATCAACTTCTTTAACTAATTCAAAGGCTTTATTGACATCATCAATAGCATTTGCATCCGCCGCGTCAAGCAGAGGTTCCTCAGTATGTTGCTTTGGATCATCTTCAACCAACTTACCCTTGGTGGCCTCAGGTTGGGAGGTAGTTCTCGCAGTCGGCCTGACACGAACAATAACCAAACGGAGCTGTTCATGTTGATGCCATAATCTAGGAAAATCCATTGATTAGCAAAATTATAGAGACTTGCAAGATAAAAACAAGAGGAAAATCGAACTTTACTTGCGAAGATTGTCCAAACGCGCTTGAAGAAGGCGATGAGCAAGGTTTGTCCGCCAGACCACTCGAATAGTTTCCTCGCGCTTCTTCTTAGAAATTTCACGCAATAGACTCTGAATCTTTTCGTATTCATCGTCCCACACACCAAAAACATCAAAACAAGCGCTCATTATACGTTCAAATTCGTCGTAGGGCATATGCATAAGACGACGCGTGCCAAGAACCTTTAGAAGTTGCGAGGTAAGGTCGCGAGAAATGGCCTCAATTAGTTTAAGACATCGCTGAAGTGGATACTTGGTATTGCGAATTTTTCTCAGATGCGTGAAAATGGCTTGGAGAGCGAGTTTTATTTTATCCAAGTCCGTGGCAGAAAGAAGGTCATTTAATGGAAAGTCTTTCATGAGTGGGTTGTAATCATTTACCATATCAATGGCACGTGTTAGACCCGTATCGGAATCGAAACTGACAGTGGCCAAAAACCGTTTCGCAGTCCTTAATATTTCAAGGGTAAGTGTGACTTCAAGTGAGGATCGTTTTTCTTGAATCCGTGACAAAGCTCGCTCAAGATTCAACCAAAACGTCACCTCCTGAAGTGCCGTTCCGGTTGATGGGTCACGATTGAGATTCGTCACCTAGATCGGGTGCAAAAAGAATGGAATGAAATTTGTAAACCAACAAAAACAGAAAAAAAATTACGTTTGCGAGCCTACTTTCTGAATATCCTTTATCCAGCGGTTCACTCCCGCTTGTAATGCGTTCAAAAAGGCTGAATCTTGAAGATAGGATTCGAAATCGGACACCTTCGCACGTCTACCTTCTTCGTCACAATTCTTTATGACTTGAAGCACGATCGGATTTATGTTTAGAGATACTTCAGGAATATCGATGTTTTGCTGCAGATGAAGGAGACCAATCTCAAGTTCCGCTATTTTTTTTTCCACACTTGGAGCAACTTTGTCGCCGTCCCTATAGAGCTCAGAAATGATGCACAGATACCTACCGTTCTGCCTTGCCAGACTCTTTTACATAGGATTTGTAGTAAGGACTAACAACGTTGCTAATCATCGAATGCAGTGTTTCAAATGGAGCCCCGTCACACAACGTTGACATACGCAGCTGCGAAGCAAATGATTTCCCCGATTCAACGACTGGATTTCGTTTGACAAAAACCAAACTAAAAAGAATTCAGACAGAGTGACAAGTACCTCTGCATTTTCGGATTTGTGTAGCGGACGTCCGCAGCGATAGCGTAGGAAAATGCGGAATCCGAACCATCGCTTTCGTCATCCTCATCTAGTGAGTCGATATTAATCAAGAAGGCAATACCTTTATTAGATGACTTCTGCACCAAAAGTGCATGACACTGGCCATCACTCAAAAACTTCCTAATAGCATCTTGAGCACTCTGATCTGAAATCGCCTTGTCGAGAGCCGTGGCGTTCTCAACGCCGTCAATAGCAGAGACAATGCTTTTTACATACTTTTCAAAAAGATCCTTGTCAGCAACAGTAACTTGAACTTCCGAAGATCTTTCCTGAGTATCAGAAGAGAGGTCAACCATGTTCCAGGAATTAGGTACTGGATAATTAATCAGCGCGACAATGATGTCGTTAAATAAAACAATGTAAGAAATATTGACTTGCGACCTTTCAAAGGCTAAGGTTTGCATTTAGTTTAAGCTAATTTTTTAAGGCTAAAAATTTCACATAAAAACTAGCCAGAATAGCACAGAAACATTTCATGCTTTTGTATGATCATGTCTAGCATAATATCTGTGAAATTCAGTGTTAAATATTAGGTTTTTATATAACTGGCATAGTTGTAAGAACTAAATAGCACTAAGGACCCCAGCCACAACGCTGTGACAGCCGATTTTGATCCATGTCAGTTGCCTGTATCAGCCTCCGTGCAAATTTTAAAGGCGCTCAGTTTTGTAGTGATCAAAAAACTTAATTTTTAATGGCATCATGCTCTGTGTTGTTAGTTTGGTGACTCAATTACGTCTTTGGAACAAAATATTGCACGGTACGGTTGCAGGTTTTAATCGTCTGGCCACTAGGCAGATAAGCTAGGACCCATAATGTGCCATTCTCAGAATACACTTTTTGGCGTCAACTTTAAAGAGGGCACAGATTTCGGTGACTGGCTTTTGTTACAAAGACGGAGCTCGAGCTCTGCGACCCTGCATGGAGAGTATCATTTCTGCTCCGCTACTTGCCCTACGACCTACGTCGCGAAGCAATGGATGCGGGTATCACGCTTTTCTCGAATACCGAAGAGTGCTGTGAGGTTCTTGTCAAAGTGACATCCCTCCAGAAGACAGAATTCTTGGCTTCTGACTTTTTCTACCGGTTACAAAAATCTGGAGAGTGGTGAAGACTTCGCAGGGAGTCTCCAGTTATTAGCCAAACAGGCATTTAAATCTTGTTGTCCCCTGAGAGTTGCTTTATGAATAGCGGCCCAGTTCAAAAGGTATGTGCGTCCGCCCGCCTTGGCAGAACAACAGGTGCAGGTGAGAACCTGAAGATTGAGCCGTCTCATCGACGCGGCAGTCTCAAAGCGCCAGGAGCTCCAATTCTCAGCGGAGTTCAACACTCGGTAATTCCCATGGACTCCCAAAAGAC